TGCAATTAGTGTTTATATGGACAGTCTCATTTAATCTTAAAAACTACTCAACAAAGTAAGTACTATTATCCTCTCTCTGTAGTAAACTGAGCCTTAAATAGGAAAATAATCTACCCACGGTACACCAGTAGTAACTAGTAGATCTAAGACTCAAACCCAAGCCCATCTGACACCAGACTCCTCACCCACTTGCTCTACTGCCCAGGATTCAGAGAAAAAATAGGCACAACACTAAAAATGCATGCTTTCCCAAGGAGTTTTTCAAACGCTATCTACACAACTTGTTAGCTTCAGGCAAACTGCTTACTGATAATTTGTGTGATTGTATTATTTATTTTCTCTTTTATATGGATTTTTCTAGGCTAATATAGATACAGCCTTGGTGTGGGACCCAACACACAGAAGGTGTTTAGTAAATATGCACGGAGTTCATAGTTTTGGTCAACTAATATAGCAGATTTTAATCCTAATTCCCTCAAGAATAAATAGCAAAATGATTTAGGAAATTGATATGAAGAATAAAATTACAATTATAATTTTACTTCTATAAATACCAAAAGCAAGATGCTGAGTGGATAGGCTTGATGCATCTCTTGGGTCCATTTTAGTGTTCTTACCTTCCCGGATGGCTGTAAATGGGACTCCCTCCTCTGCATTCATGCTGATGACTTTTAAAGCCACTAGTTGTCCGTTTATCCTAGAAGAGTCAAAGGAAAGGGCACACATTTGTTGAAATCATTGATTTATACTAAACAATTCATGCTAAGGATAGTTTAACAAAGAGAGCTTTCCTTCAAAGTATATTCCAGTATATGAATCTACAATTTTCTCAAAATAAAAAGTTTCAAAAGTCATGTGTATGTATCAAACCATTTCTTTCTCTTTACCAAAATGACATATATTCATTGTGAAAAATATGGAGAATGTAGGAAAATAAAGAAAAAAAGACCCCAACAAATCCATCCTCACAATATTTTGATATATATTGTTCCTTTTATTTCCCTTTGTACACTTATTTTACTCATCCTTATCTGGGGGAGGAGGTAGTTTGTTTGTGTGTTTGTTTTTAAGGTAGAGGTACTGAGGATTGAACCCAGGACCTTGTGCATGCACTCTACCACTGAGCTATACCATCCCCACTCCCAGTCATCCTTATTTTTCACCTGAATTATTGTAGTAACCTCCTAATAGTCTCTCTCCTTGTACATTTGTACCCCTACTGTCTACTCACAACAGTGTAGCCCAGGGCATCTTTTTAAAGTGAAAATCAAAACAAGTCACTTCTGTGCTCAAAACCCACCATTATCTCCATATTTCATTCGAAATAAATGCCAAATTCTTATAATCACCTCCTAGGTGCTACCTGATCTGCCCAGTTCAGCATTCTCCCTCTCTCTTCATCTTCTCCTACTCTCCCCTTATTCATTGTTCCGTTTGCTGATACAACTAAGTGCCAGAGAACAGAGATTTTAATGCAAGTATAGATACAGTTTTTTATACAGTGGGATTCATATCACATTATTAGTAACCTATTTTTCCTCCATTTAACTTATTCTCTTATTCATTCTGATATAATGTGATATTTAATAATAACATTTTAAAAGTATGCTACAGTGGGTTTTGCCAATTCCAAATATTTTAACATTGTTTCTAACTTTTGGCTATTATAAAAATACCCTGATGATCATATTTGTAGATAAATCTCTACACAAAGCCCCTATTATATTCTTAGGCTTGAGCTGGAATTGCTAAATCAAAGAGTATGCAGTGCACATGTTTTTTATTGTCTTGAATGCATGTTCCCAAGTTGTGCCACAGTGATCATACCACTAACTGGTTGTGAGAGTGGCCATTCTAGCACTCCCTGACTAACACCAGCCAGCGTTGCGTGTTTTCTGTTGTTGTTTTAAGATTTCATTTTTCAGAACAGTTTTAGTTTTACAGAAAAGTTGAGAAGGCAGTATAGAAAGTTCCCATATACCTCTTATATAGTTTCTTCTATTGTTAACATCTTATATTAGTATCACATTTGCTAGAATTAATGAATCACTTTTGATACGTTAACTAAAGCCCGTAGTTTATTAGGAATTCTTTAGTTAGTTTTCTTTTCTTTTTTTTTCCTAGAATTGTACTATTTGTTGTCAGTTGCATTGTAAGCTGGTAAAATTTGGGGGAGTACATGATCATACATAGGAAGAGCTATAAAAGTACCATACTCAGGAATTTTCCCAATGAAGTTACTTAACAAAGATTTTAATAATTCCAAATGCATGAAAGGTATTGTCTACTATGTCAGTTATAACAGAAAAACATAAAAATAACTGAAGTGCTCAGCATTAGAGGAACACTTTGAAAATTTGTGGTACATCAATACATATATACATACATTCATAACTAAAGTCCAGAGACATGCAGAAAGAAACATGGAAAAGATTTATGAAAATATGAAAAATAGAACACAAAATAGTAAGCATATCATGTTTGTAACTAAACAATCTGTGTGCATATGGAAGACAAAATATGCGGATGCAAGTTGCTATGCTAAAGTGATGGTCTAATTATACAGTAGATGATTTTAAAGTTTAAAAAATTCATTTGCTATTCTGTATTGCCTTTTTTGTTTTTACAGTATTTATAAGTTTATTATGGCTTTCCGATCTTATTTCAAAATGCTTTCTTACAGTAACTATTTTTTCCAGACATATATAAATTCATGAGAATCAACTTATCTTAGTCTTTTAAAAAATCGAAATATATAATATTGTATATTTGTATAGTATATATAAAAAACACTCTAAGTTTCAGGTGTACAACAGGTTGATGTGACACATTTATATATTGCAATATGATTATCAGAATTGCTTTAATTTTCACCCAATGTCCTTTTTCTATTCCAGGATTCCATCCAGGACACCACACTGCATGTATTTGTCATATCTCTTAAGACTTCTCTTGGCTGTGACAGTTTCCCAGGCTTTCCTTGTTTTTGATGACACTGACAGTTTCGAGGAGTACTTGTCAAGTATTTTGCAGGATTGCTCTCTATCGGAATTTTTCTGGTGTTTTTCTTATGATTAGACTGCAGATACGGGTTTGGGGGGAGGTAAGTCATTTTCATCACATCATATTAAAGGTATATATGGCCATCACAATTTATGACTTTTGATGCAGCCTTAATCTCCTGGCTGAGGTAGTGTTTGTTGGGTCTCTTCACTATAAAGTTATCCTCCCTCCACCACTCCTTTCCATTCAGTACTTTTGGAAGGATGTCACTATGAGTAGCCCACACTTCAGGAGCGGGGAGTGCTCCATCACCTTGAGGGTGGGTTACCTACATAAATTATTTGGAATTCTTATGCATGGGAAATTTGTCTCTTTTCTCCTGTTTATTAATTAACTGAACCACTTATAGCACTATGGACTCATAGATACTCATTTTATAGTTTGGGTTATAATACAGTACTATTTTATTTATTTTGTTGCTCAAATTTTTTCCAGTTTTGTTTTTTAGGAGCTTTTTCAGTTGGCTCTTTTTTGTTCTATTGGTCTTTTCTGTTCTTTTGTGGTTTACCTATTTGCCCATTTTTTATTGAAATATTTTACATTTACTTTTCACCAATTTCTTTCGTTTGCCTTATTGTGTCTTTGAAATTTTGAACTTAAAATTTTTTATGATGCTCAGTATTTTTCAAAATGTTTTACTCAGAGGATAGCTCTGTGAAATTCTCCATACCCTCGATCCCAAAAGTTTTGGGTCAAGTATGTTTAGAAAATACTTTATACTTTAAAACTTTCCTTAATCATTTTTAGACAGTCATGGTACATGTCAACATTATAAAGATACCAAGAGCACTTACAATAAAGGATCACATTTTATTTTGTTCTAGGGTTCCCCGTGTCAACTTGACAATGGTAATTGTTTCACTAAACCTCTATTAAAATAGGTGTCTCAGAATCAGGGGTCCTTAGGACATACTTGGATAGATGGGACACCATGGACACTTCCACTCTTCCCTTATGGGTTCTGATTTAAGTGTTACGTATAAACAGAGCTTCCCAGCCCAAAGGTTGCACAGATTTCCCTTATCTATTCTTCTAGGTCTTGTATTTCATTTAATTCTTCAATCCACTGGTAATTCATAGTGATATTTGCCTTTCCAAATTGCTAACAATCATCCCAGTTCCATTTATTGGACTATCTTCTTTTCCCTGCTGATTAGATATGCCACCATGACTATACATTAGATCATACTAATACTTGGATTTGTGACTGTTCTGGACATTTACAAATCATATTTCTTTGACCTATCTTTTCTTATACTTGTGCTACACCATTTTAATTATTACAGTTTATGAACATATTTAGAATACATTAAAAATCTAAATTACAAAATCATTGACATCTTTGCTTGTTAGATTTTCTAATCCAAATATCCTTCCAGCAGTGCCTGGAATGATCTACAAGACCCTATACAATGGCCCTGCTGCAGCTGCAACTCCTGCCTGTCCTCACGTCCTTCCACTCTCCCCGTCCAATGCCAGCCCTGCTCCTGCCTCAGGGATTTCTTACTTGCTGTTCCCTCTGCCTGAAGCTCTCTTCCACTATACATGCATGCAGTTCACACCCCACCTTAGTCAGAGTCTCTGTTCAGGTGTTCCCTACTCAGTGAGGCCTCCTCTCATCATTCTATTTAAATAGCAATTCCCTACCCTACTCTGGCACTCACTATGCCTCTGCCTTGTTTTATCCTTTTCCAAATAAAGCATTTTCACTTTCTGACAAACTTGATCAAAGAATTTATTTGTTTATTGCCTGTCTCATCCCCACTAGAAGATACACTCCACCAGAGCAGGGACTTCCGTCTCTTTTGTTCTCCGATGAATCCTTAGAGGCTAAAATAGTGCCTGGCATATAGCAGGTGCTTAATTAATATGAGTAGAATGAATGAATGACTACCTGGCTTTTTTTAAAGTCTGTTATGCCCCTTGGTAAATCTTTATATAAATCCTGCTCATTTTTTGATGCTAATGATTTTTGTTGTTGCTATTTTGAGAATAATTCCCCTACTGCATTTCCTATTAAGTGGTTATTGCTCATACATAAGACAACTTTAGATAGGTATATTTTGATTTTGTAACTGATCTCCTTATTGTTCTTACTACTTCTACTAGTTTCTTAGGTTAGATTCTCTTGGGCTTTTTAGGTAGACAATTCTATAATCCACAAAAACAGTATTCTGTCTTCTTTTTCCTCATTGCATTGGCTAGAATGCTTATGTTAATCTTTAACAACAGAGAATAATGGGCAGTCTCACCCTGTCTCTAGCTTAATGGTGATGTCTCCAGTGTTTAACAAAGAAAAAATATGTAGGCTGTTTATTTGAACTTTTTCTGCATCATAATGAGAAATTATCATCGATTCCTATTTTGCTTAGAGTTTTAAAAATTAGTAATTGATGCTGAATTTACCAAATGCCTTTTTGGCATCTATCCCTATGATATGTTTTAACTTGTCTTTAAATTATAAATGTCATGCCTTTGTGTTAAGGAATATAGTGAAATGTTTGAGTGATCTTTCCCCACTCCAGTTTCAATCACTAGAAGTAGCTACTTTTAACAATCCCTTGTGTATTTTTCTAGATTCCTCTAAACACATACAAATTTATATGTATATAGCATTTTATTTCTAAATAGATCATAGGGTAAGGATTATTCTGTAACTTGCTTGTGTCTCTTAAAATATTGGGCACCTTTTCCTACATCTGTCTCATACTCTAGATGGCTGATTATATGGTGATTATTTAGCCTCTCCTCCATTAATGGATATTTGTGACAAGGTTTTTACTTTTTCTATTACAAACTTGCTGCAATTAGTATACTTTTACATGTATTTCTGTGCATTTGGACAGAGTGTTTATTTCTAATGTATTTTTTGTTCTATTACTAGGCTGAATCGCTTGAAGGAAATCTCTTTTACTTCCAGTTCCTAAGATAGTTTATGGAAGCTAATTAAATCTTGTTTCTACATAATATATTTAAAATGATATTTCCCCTAAAATCCTGTTTAACAAGTAAAAATAATAACACAAGTACTAAGATAAATAATATTTAGTCTTACAGTATTTATATTGAAATTTTGAAATTAACATTTAACCACTTTTGAGCCTTTATTTTTCTGAGTAAAATAAAGAGTAACATAAATTAAAGAAATCAAATCTTCTGACTTGACTAAATGCAGTGGAGTTCATGAATCTTTCAAATATGTTAAACAAAGTTTTTATTAGCCAAAATGGGCACTTGCTTTCTGGATTTCTATTCTCTAGCCATTTTGTCTAATTTGCAAGTGTAGAAAAGCCAGGATTAATCATTTTTTCATACCATGTCATACTTCGTAGAAACCAACTTCAGTTTCTTCTACAAAGGCAAGGTGGAAGAAGGAAGGAGCAAACTCAAGGCTGCCTTTGCAAACCTCTGTCTTTGCATTTGAGGGGGAATATGATGCCTTACCAACTGCACTTCCCAGCGGGTGAAGAGCTGTAATTGCTCTTTGCGGGAGAAGTTGAAGAAGTCTACTTCGAATTGAATCAGAAAGAGGAAAAGCTGATAAACATCTTAGTGGGCTGATTTTGACTGGGGCAGGGGAAATTTGTTTTCTTTCAAGGCTAGTTGAGTCATCATGTCTTTCCCTATTGACTGTGGGGTCTTGCACAGGTCCTGAGCTTCCGCCATATGTCACCTGGCTTTGTAATGTCAAATTGGGGGGTGGGATCTTCTTTTCTAAAGTCTCTCCCCTGCTAATGAGTCACTCACCTGCTAATCCCCTTGTAAACTGTAGCATAAGAGCCTTCACCCAGCTTCTCCAAGTTCAAGTAAGACGAGGCTGCCCCAAAGGGAAGGCTTTTCCTCTGCATAAGGGGAATGAGGAAGAATGAGAGGTGGGAAAGAAAACAGCATTTTTTTTTTAGTGTTGATTTTCTTTTTCACAGAGAAATTAGACAGCATTGCAGAGTGTACTTGGGAAGGTCTGCTCAATAATTGTCCCAGAAATAAGGCCAGCCTCCCTAGACAACCACACGTTAAATCTCCCTGATCAACATCAGCTGCTCACTCACCCACTGAAAACCCTGCCTCAGATCCTCTTCCTGAAAAGAATCGCTATTACTCCGTGGCCTTTTACTCTTGAACTTCCGGGCACGGACAGCCTGAAGTCCCCTGGGGTGAAATGAAGTCATGGAACATGATGCTTCTTTTAGGTCTGTTAGCTAGAGAAAAAGGAAAGTGCAGTAATAAAATTTATGCAAAGTCAAGACTCAATGGCTAGCATAAACCATTTTTTCTTTATCTGCCTGATGTTAACTCTTCAAATGTCTTCTAAGCTTCCTACACCTGCAAAAGACACCTTTCCTGAACATTAGATCCTTAAAAAAAGTAAAATAAAATAAAAAAGCAAAAACACACCATAATGATATCAACTGCTGAAATACTACATTCTTCATTCACCTAAAAATATGTCTTTAAACACTCAGGTTAGCCTAAATTTCTCTGATGGGTGGTTTCTAATTTTTCTCTGTTAAACCTAGACTTTTCTGTGTGTGTCCCATTGATTTACCTCTTCAGGGGAAAAAATTTCCAGTACAGCAATGCTAATAACCATGAGTTAATCACTGAAATTTTTTAATCCATAGGATACCAATACTGCAGTTTGCTTTTCAAGGTTCAGCTCTTTAGTACTTCAGAGATTTCAAGAGAATAACTTCCTCGACTTCAAGCAAGTGAGTTTTGTGCAGCCCAAACCATAGGATTATTTTCCCTTTTGGCTTAAAAGAAAATCCCCAAATTTGATGGCAAGAGCCACCAATTCTCTGTGACTTTAATAGTAATTTTCTTTTTATTGGTTTAGACCTGTGGCAGAAAAATCAGACCCTGCTACGAAAGAGGAGCCTCTGAACTCCTCGGTTTATCAACAGAGGAAGATGCTGCTCCTGGGATACAAATACCTCGATCGCAGCCTCCATCGTCACAGGCGCACTCCTCTGACAGCTGTGTGCATCGCCTCCCTCCCAACAGCGATGGCAGCTGCATCCAGGCTGGAGAGTCTTTGCACACAGCTCCTGACCCATAATCTTCTAGGTTCAAGGAGAAAACCGGCACTTGAACCTCTCTCCCTCTGCCTCTCCTGTCCTTGTTCACTCTCTTTTTGCCAGAGGTCAGCAATGCCGGAGCTTTCATATGACTCACATGAGGGCTCTGCCTGGAGCAGCCTCATGACTTCAGCAGTTTTTCTTTTTCAGTGCAAGAAACTATACATCAGAAAGACGGCTGCCTGCATTCATGTATGCAACAATGGAAACCAGGACACCTAATATTGGATAGAATAAAATTTGATACAATTACAGTTCTTATTCCAGCCATGTGTTAGGGCTACTGGTATACATAGTTTTATGAATTTACATTGCTTATCCAAATTACTGACGATATTTACTAGGCTTTCCTGGTGCTAAAGTGGACATATTGAGGAGTATTTTCTCCTCGCCTTTCACCTGAAAGTATTTTGTTTTTCAGACTTCAAAATAAATTTGCAACCTAGCCAACTTTTAGTAGTCAGAGAAACCACAGAACCATAGAACAGGAAGAATGCTGAAGATTTCTATTCCATCTCTTTGCCTTGGAGCTCATTCATTCACTGATTGAAAAACTATCTAGTGAGCACCTGTGTTGTTCTTACTACTAAACAGGTAACAATGTGACCCTGTGGTGGAGAGAGGGGAGTTTGCATGAAATATCTTCTCTCCCTCTCGCCTTCCTTCTCCTTGCCTCCTTTCTTCCAAATAAATGTAATTAATGTTTACTACATTAATAGCGTGACATGTTAAGGAATTACTTCAAGCTAATTTGCAGTCTTTGAACAGAACTTCTTTCTCTCATGGAATCCTAAGGTTACTGCCACGATAATGTGCTAATTAGAGTGAGACGGAATATATTCCAGACACACACACAATCATTAAGGGGAAAAATGAGTGGTGTCTATTATCACAGTATTAATATGTGATATCTGAATCTTACACTGTTTTAAGAAAAACCTTTCAGATAATTTAATTATGAGCATGTATGAAGTTTCATTTCAAAATTGCCGTAAGAGACCTAAAACAGCTCAATTCAGAGATTCACCCAAATTAGAGACATTTAGTTAAAAAAAAAAAGACTAGCAATTCAAAGAATATTTGGTTAAAGTATTAAGCTTTTGACTAATAATCAGCAGAGAGTAAGATAAGCTAGTTTCTCAAAATGTTTAATCCCATTAGAATTTATCATAATTTGATTATAATACATTTTATCAGAAATGTTGATTTCTTTCTAAAAGATTGTGAATTTCATTATACAAAAGTTATATCCCAGACCAGGTTTGAGACGGTTTTTCTTCATCATCCTCTAATTATCATAATTTTAGAGTTTTTAAATGGTTAGCATTTTCATTAGCCTTGGGGGTAATTCATTTAAGTCTCGAGTTGCTAAAATAGAATAGCCTGATTTCTTTAAGGTTTAAAATGGTATGTTTAGATCCTAGAATGGGCTACTGGGGGAAACTGTGAAATACTCCTCAGAATTTTCAAAAATAAAATAATTTATGGTCTTGTTTAAAGTCAAGGAAAAATATTAGATGACTTAGGAGCTAGAAAACTCTGTCCAAAATTATTTTTGTTATCAAATATTTTTGAATAAGGACAGAAGACTTAGATGATTTCATTTTGGAAGGTAGCTATGCTCACCACTATTCCACCAACGCCGATGATTTCATTTTGAATTGTGAATCAGAACCAGTTTATGTGCCACTCCAGGTTGGCCAGACCTACCACAGGGCCTGGCTGGCTTCTTGGTGGGAGAAACCCACTATGCTGTCTTGAAGCACAGCCACTGTTACTGCCACCTCCTGCTCTCATAGACCAAAGAGCCCCCACACAAGAAGCTGACAAGGAGAGACCCCTGTGTCTGGCCACCAGCCTGAATGGACCAACAGAGGCTCTGGCTTCTCCAGCAACTACCTGCAAGGACCAAGGGACACAAGCGAGGAAAGCAGGGAGTCCCATGGCATGCACTTCCACCATGAAACTAGCAATGTTTGTTGCGGAACTAAAGCCAGCTCAGAAACACGTGCCACTTATATTCTCCCTTCTTCTCTCGTTTACTTCCTTTCTCCTTCATTTCTACTTCCCTGGGATTGCACATAACCCCTCCACCCCAAAATTAAGTGTTTGCATGTAAGCTTTTGCTTGAAGCTCTGTTTCCAGGGAATCTGTATTGACAAATGGTAGCCATTTTTTTAAATTAGCAGTAAAATTATAGGTTATTAATAATTTCAGACTAGATTCTCCCACCCTACAATTTTGCGGTCCTTTTTTCTTTTTCAGTTGGTATGTATTCAAACTGTTACGTTTAGTAGAGAGTTTGCACTTTTTCTAATCTTGCATTCTGTCTTTATTTCATGTAATGAGATTATTAGGAATTTTGGTCTAATTTTAACCTTTCTAGAATATGTAGATTATCACAAGCATTCAACAGATAATTACATAAGAAAAAAATGTGAAGTCTGTGTCAGAAACATTAAAAATAGTCCATATGTATCCACATAATGAAGTGCAGCTGTGAAAAAAAAAAGAAACTCTATATAATGACATGCAGTGATCACCAAAATTATTGTTAAGTGAAAAAAGCAAAATGTGTTACCTTTTGTGGCAAAAAAATGAAGGGAAATAGTGTGTAGTCATTAGTTTTCCCAATAGTAGCAATATTATTATTATTATTTTAAAACTGTTACTTGTGTATTTTAGGATTAAACAAGTAAGTAATTACGCTATTGCCATTAGAAACCAATCGTTTCAGCTTAAAAGAAAATAAACATAAATACCAAATTGATGAAATCAAGTAAAAATTATATGATCTTAAATTTGATTGGAAAATATTGGTATAAATATTTTTATTATGATTATAATCTTTTTCCTTAAAAAAAAAAAAAACTCTGTTAACCAAAACGACCTAGAAACAATGACAACTCAATAGCAATGAGCAATCCTGGTGCTTAGCTTGTGGTCTCTAAATATCATTTTCCATTAAAAAGAACCAACGATCCATGGAGAAGTGGTGGCTGAATATTTGGAGCATGAAATCTAGAAAGTTATGAAGAAACTCGTCCAAGGTTCATCTTAAATCAATGGGAGTCATGTCAAAAAGACACAGGAGCCAACTTGAAGGGACTCCCATTTGGCTTACGATGGGACAATTTGAATACAAAAAGAGTGATGACTGCAACAGATTAAAACACACCAAATACATAAAATCCATAGCTTTATAGTGGTTGTAAATAAAAATAACCACTTGAAGGTTTCTTATGTAGCGATTCATTACTCGGAATATTGATAAAGGGGAAAAATCAAGTATTTATTTTGTCTTTTCTATACAAATTATTTTTCCAGGGTTATCAAGTAGTTAATGAGGGGGAAATTCTTCTTCATGGAAGAATTCCAGCTAATAAATGCAGAAGAAATGACAGTAGTCGAAAGTTCACTATTATGCAATCTGTAATACAATAATAGATCTAAGCAACAATTATCAATGGATACTAACATGATTAGGTGAAAGATTGATAAGGAATTTTGCAGTGCAAGGTTGAGTCTTCTGATCAATCTTAGCTCCACTAAATTTGGGGTATCCAGACATCATGTGCCTCCTGATGTGGATACAACAGAAAGAGCACAGTACCACCTGTGATGTATTTTTGACTAAGGGAAAAAAATTTAATCTGAATCTAATAAAGTATCTACATCTAAATCCAAATTACAAGAAATACAGAGGACAGAGAAGTTAAATAACACCACAAGGAAGTAAACAGATAAATCAGTAAGGACAAATAGCCTGATTTATCTAAAGAAACCAATGGCATTTAAAAAAAGAAAAGAAAAGAAAAAGTTGAGAGACACAACAGACAAATACAATATGTAGACCTTGTTTGAACCCTGATCTGAATAAACTAACTGTAAAACAACATTTTCCCCCCAACTTTACTGAGACATAATTGATAAATAAAAACTGCATACATTTAAGATGTACAAGGTATTTTGAAATGTTCACCACAAGGAAGCTAATCAACACATCTATCCCTTCACACAGTTAACTTGTTGTGTGTGTGTGTGAGAACAATTAAGATCTACTCTTAGTAAATTTCAAGTATACAGTACAACATTATTAACTATAGTCACACTGTTGTACGTTAGAACCCCAGAATTTATTCATCCTGCATATCTCAAACTTTGTACCCTTTGACCAACATTTCCCCATTTCCCCCACTCCCCAACCCCTGGTAACAACTACAGAGTGACATTTCTGGGACAAGTATGGACATTTAAATATGATATTAGATGACCTTAAGAGTTCATTTTTAATTCTGCATGATGATTATGTTTTTAAAACAATCCTATGATTAAAGATGAATATTAAAGTATTTTCAAATGCAATGACTTAATATCCTTGCTTTAAAATATTCTAGAAGAATAATGTTGGGGGTTAAAAGAAACAAAATTGGTAAAAATACTGATCATTGGGTAAGCTGAGTGATGGCTATATGAAGGTTCATTTTTGTGTGTTTAAGAATTTTCTAAACAAGAAAGTAGAAAAAGAATAAGTTTTAAAAACACATTCACATGAAATTCATATAGTGTGATTATTTATTTATTTATTTATTTATATCCCTGCCTATTTCCAAAAAGGTGGGGAGAGGGGACTTTAGATAAAAGGACAGTAGTAATAGTTATAGTAACAGCTACCATGTCAGTGCTTGCTCCATGCCAGACTCCATGCTGACTCTCCAACTCCACGAATAAGTAAGTGCCATTATTATGCCCACTTAATCATGAGGGAACTGAATCTTAGAGAGTTTAAGTAACTTTCCCAATATTACTAAACTAGCAAATAGTAGAAAATATTTATAAAGCTGCTCAAAGACTACTAAATTCCCCAGATTTTACTTAATAAGGACACATTGGTAATTGCATTTGCGCAAAGAGCACAAAAATCTCTGTTTGGTCTGATTGTTTACTAATTATTAAGCCTAGATTTAATTTAGTTATTCTATTTAGGATGAACCAGTAATAGGTAAGTGACACTGGTTTGTTGATTGGAGGAATGTGACATCATCTTCAATCCAAATGAAAACGACAGAGTACAATTCTTAAATCCCATGCCTTCCTTCTTCCTGGAGTTCTTAAGCTTGACAGTTTCACATGCTGAGAGTGCTGCCTGCTGACAATAAGCAGAACTGCAAGCACATGGCATCTGGGTCTCTTCTGCACCTTTACATGCACTTGTGGTCTTTATTTACATCGTATTATTATTGTCTGTTACTATGCTATTCGTTTACTTATAATCAGTTTTCACAATGAAGTTGATGGTGTAAATCCCAGTGTTATATTTTTTATTTCTACTGCCTTCAAAAAAGAATAAAATTCAAAACTGTTAAGTTATTGAAGAAGTATGTGGAGCAAGATGGCCATATTTCCAAATTGCACAAATTCTCATTGATTTAAGAGGACAATATTGGAGGCCTAGGAATTTCTGCTCAGAAATGCCAAATGCCCCAGTTACAGTTTTCAAGCCTTAAATTCTGTGCTCCTGGCTCTGATACTAGACTCTGACTCACATTCAGACTCTCCTCACATCCTGGCCTTACCTGGTGTGGATCAAAATGGTGAACTACAGATGGAACACTGAAGAATGCTGAGTGACTCCATATGTGTAGGTCTACATTCTAAAACCACTGGAAAGCAGTAACAGGTTAAAAGCGATTTCACAAGCAGGTAAGGAAATCCAGCTGCAGGTTGTTGCTGTAACAGAACTGGCTTAGTTATGAACCATGCAATTATACTGACACCGTACCTAAAAATGACCCTTTGTTTAAAATTGTAGGAATCTTTGGGATATCTGTAGACGTAGGGAAAGTATAAAGACGCTACTTCTAGTATAAGCGAAAAATAAATTACACTTCTACAGACTAGCTGTTATTTGCATTTGTATGATTGTTTTAATTTCTCGAGTCTGAATATATTAAGGGAAAATTTCAGAAATGACTTGAACTGATGATCTGGTGCTCAATGAAATGGGGGACAACAGTTTTATATTTAAGTTTTGACTTTCAGTATAATACGATTTTTTTAAAAAGAGTGATTTAATGTTCTTTTTATAAAGAATAGATTTGTATTTATAGCATAATTAGGCTTCATGGTGAGGCAACCTGTCACATATTTAGTCCAAGTCTTCTGGCTATATGTCGGAAAAAAAAATGACAATAGTAACAAGGCAAACACATGGCTTACTTGTATTTACTCATAACAATTCTGTGGTCAGAAGCATTAAATAATTTGCTCAAGGACACTTAGGAAAAAAGGGGTGGAACCAGGATTTAAACCAAAGCAGTACAGCTCCGATGTCCAAACTTTAAACTTACCTGACCACTTTCCTTCTTTATATAGATCAAAGGTTGGGAGATAATGTCATACCAAAGACTCTCCATGCCAGTTCTGGGTCCTCCCTTCTTTCATTTCACTATCTAATATGGCTACTATTTTTTGATCTATTCTAATCAAGGACTTCATATACATTATCTCATTTAATTCTGTGGCATATTTATTCCCCTAATTTTAGATGAGGAGACTGAAGATTGCTCCAAGTTTCTTAGAGTGTGTCAGAATTAGAATTTAAACCCACTGGTATTAATTCTAGGATCTATGCTCCTAACCATGGCTCCACACAATGAGCAGCCAGGTGCTGTGAGCACCCTTGCCCCCGACACACAGGGGGTCCCTGAAATCAGCACACTGTTCTCTTGTATATGGGTGGGAATTTTGTTTCTTGGTACCCAGGATGGTACCCTAACCCACATGAAAGAAATTCCTCTCTGATAGGAAACATGCATCCCTGAAAGTAGAGGCTGAGATGAGTGTCCTCCATCTGCAGTCTTCAACTCCACCTGCATTTCTTTCCAGCAGCCTTTCATGGCCAGTGTACAATCAGAACAGTTAGTCCAGTACAAGCACTTCTGTATAAGTGCTCAGGCTGGTGACTAGAGAATAATAGTACCTTTCTACAACTCGTCATTGTTAATTTCTGTGAAATGGATTAAAATGCTCGCATAACCTTCTTTAACATTGCCCTAAAGTTTCTTGCTCTGTCAGAGTAAAATGGTCTAGCCTGGAAACCCGTCCTTTTTCATGCTATGCATATACTGTGGATATGTAAATACAAATGAACTCAACTTACACAACTGAACTTGTAAATTTCTGATACCCACAAACTGTGTGGCCGACTCTTTCAGACTCTCTCTCCCCATCTCCACCCTAGGATGCCTGAACCCCTTTGGTCCCTCATTCCAGAAAGCAGTCAGCCTTGTATCGACAGCACCACTAAGTGGCCAGATGGAGAACTGGCCAAATCAACTTTTCTTCCCTTCAGACTGTTTTCCTCAAGAGAATGCCCCTCCCAAACTCCAACCTCTCCTACCACACTTACTTTAATTTTCTTTGGACTTTGCCACTCACAGCCAAGGTGATTCCACTTCAGGTCATCTCTTTCTCAAATCTACACACATCCTTTTTTAAAAAAATCTTTTTTTCTTCTCCTCACCCAGTTACTTTGTAAGTTTTTCTCATTCTTTTCAACTGCCTTTATCACATACATAAGCTTAGCAGTTGCTAGAGCAGGGCAAACCAAACTTGGCCCCAAGGTTCTGAAATTTAGAGGGTTTAACCACCTTTTAAGAAATTAAGCGTTCCCGGGTTTTGGCACCAAAAAATAAAATAAAATAATTAAAAAATTAAGCATTTAAATTCCTGTGCAAATTGATTAGACCTCTTGCCCTCAGAAATACTGAGTCCTCCCCAGCTATCAGCCCCTAGAAACCAGTTAGCACTTGGCCACAGCAGAGCCTCGGTAACAGCTAGGGAGAGCTGGTGCGCTGGAAATCAAAAGTAAGAAAAGCATTTTAAAAATTAGAAAGAAAAGTAGGAAGTGGGGAAAGGGAGGAGGAGAGGGAGAGAAGGAAGAAGGAAAGAGGGAGGGGAGAGGGAGACAGAGAGAGACAGAGAGAAAGGAAGGAAGGAAAGTCTAACCTTGGGGAGCCCCTGGAGCTTCCTGTCTCATTGCTTCCCACCAGTGCCCCGACTGAGATGAGGCATCACCAGGGCACCAAAACCAAAACCCAAACCCCCCGGTAATCAAGACAAATCACAATGATAAACAATCTTGTTGCAATATTTTTGAGGCATTTTTTAAAATCAAAAAATTTTTAATAAAAATAAAAATTAATGCAAAAATTTCACGATGAACAAAATACAGTATTAACATTGTAAACAAAGACAGGCTGCTGCTTGCTTGTTTGTTTACGACCTCGCGTCTCTGAGCTAAGGGAAGAGCCGTTTCCAATTAACCCTTGGTTCCCGCCGGGTGGCTGTCTTACCCACCTACCCTTCGCCCCACTCGCCGGGCTGGGCGGGTTGATGCGGGTTGACTGGCATGGTGTGCGAACAGATTTGCAACACGGGTTTTTTCCTAGCTAGCTGGTTAAAATTTTCCCAATTATAGAGCTTTTAATAACTTTTTTCTGACTGATTAAAAAATACGGGAGCATATTTTGATCTGTGAACATGTAAGGACGTAAGTTTTTCCCGTTGCTCCGTCTCCAACAAAGCTGGAGGGAGCGCTCCTCTCCACTCTGCGCTCCAGAGCCCCACAACTTCCATCCAACTCTTGGTTCTTGGCCCTTAAAACACACCTTTCTCTAAGTACCAGCACTCAAAAAATTATTCACTCAGTAGTAAGAGATTTTCCTTCTTATTTTTAAAAATTATGAAGTACTGCAAAAGTATGGCTTTCAAGTATATCTTTCATTGCAAATGCACATTATTTGAATGACATCATAAATCAAATAACATTTGTAGGTTAGTCCAGGAACTGAGCCATTATTTACCTCACCGTTTCTTTGCAAAAACATGTGCTAAGTTTCAAAGAGCTCACTTGTAAATAAATATTTCAGACACTACTTTTTCTAGGTTGGGTGGGGCTAAATGCTTTCTTCAAATCCTTATAAAAATTTACATGTTATACATTGTAATATACACATACAAAAAGGAGGCCCTTTAGCCCAAACTACTTGCTCTTTGCTTTTAGGAAAAAAGGTGACTTGTAATGCGTAGCTTAAGATGTCAGTAGAACTCTGGTTTCGCCAATAAAACTGAAGTAAGGAAAGAATAAGAGAGAAGGCCCATATTATATAAAAATAACTCAGATCTAGAAGAATATCTTATTTAAATATAGATATTTACATTTTATTAAAATATGCTTGCTCTAGTGGTTACTTATGTCATAATATAGGATTTATGAATAATATGTCTCAATAACTGTCACATAACTATGTGTTTTCATTCTGCTTACCTACAGCTGGTGGCTAATCATTCAATCCACTTTCCTTGCATACTGAAATGTTTCCTATTATTTTAGTAGCTTTAGTTAGACATGTATTATAATTCTTAACCTTAAAAACCTAGTTTCCAGCAAAAACTAAGAAATAAGCAATTATGAACTGTCTTTTACACTAGCATTCCATTAGTTAGGAAACTTATAAATACTATTTATGTTAGGAAACTTATAAATACTATTTATGGTTTCTAGAAAACATATGCCTTTTTTTTTGACAGAAAATGTCTTAGTGTGGCACCAAACATATTTATTAATAGCCTCAAATATCTTTAGCTTTTCTGTAAAGAAGCCTATGTTCAGTAATTAATAATCCAGCATCTTATTTGAAAATGACCTGGGTATTCAATGAATCCCTAACATTTGACTTCATTTAGCAAAAAGTCTAAAGTTTGAAGTTACCTAAATCTGGAGAGACCATTTTAGATAGATTTTTCTCAAGACATAATTATTCCTAAAGAATTTACCTGAAAGCTCTTATCTTATTTAGCTCTATATTTTATTTATCTTAAAGTTTCATCATACTGATGCAGGAAAATGGTTGTGGAGCATGAGGAGGGTCGTGTCCCAGGTCTCGGTTGAGCCCCTGGGACATGCCCCGCCAAGTGTGGGTCGTGCAGGAAAGAATTCAAGTGCAAGCCACAGTTGAGTAAAGGCAGATTTATTTAGAAAGATATATACCACACAGAGGGCAAGGCAAGAGAAAGGCAAGGAAAGAGGTGTGGGAGTTGGATGGTCAGGTTAAAGTAAAAGTAGGTACACACTCCATAGACGGAGTGCAGGCCGTCCAAAGAGGAGGGAGCGGGAAAAAAAGGGCGGCTAGGCATGGTGTTGCCAGTTTTTATGGGCTCAGTAGCTTCACATGCCTACAGGTGGGACCATTCCAACTACCCTGGGGAAGGGGCTGGGATTCCCAGGAACTGAGCCACCGTGCAGGCCTTTTGGGGTTAGCCTTGGGATTGTCATGGCGCCTGCGGGCATGTTATTTATCACGCTGTTACAATGAGCATATAATGAAGCTTAAGGTCTACTAGAAGTCAAACCTCCTGCCAATTTAATCCTCAAGGCCAACTGGGAGTTGAATCTTCCACCTTTTGGTGTTAAATTGCTGTCATTCCTTGAGTGGCTGTGCCCTGCCCTCTTCCATCCTATCTCAATACCAAGTTATTTTTCTTGACAAATTTTGTACCAGGAATAATAAGATCTTGTTTGATTTCTAGTAAACCTAGAAACAATAAAAGTATTGCACTTATTGTTGATGACTCTAAAGACATTGTTAAACCAACCAAACTTAAACTTGTTTTCATTAATTAAAATTAATCCTAGATCATATGATCCTGATACTCATTTGGGATAGTTTCTTTTATATTTCTGAGTATTTACATAAGCACTTAATTTCCTTTAAGCCAATTAAATAGAGCTCTTTTACAAAATAATTTTGGCAATACTACACATCTACAACATACATATATAGATACATACAAAACACAAACACAGAGACCACATAGTTCCTGTTCCAAAATCTCAGCCATGAATCAGGTACAATAATATAAAGCCCATCAGTCACAAGAGAGGTTGGATACAAACTGAGTTTCTGGCAGATGGAACAAATCGAGGTCACTGCCTAGATGGCTAAACCCTTTTTATTAATATTTATAGAGAAGACTTAAGATATGTATTCGTCCCTGACAAGTAAAGTTCTAAATTATCTATTTCCCTTTTGTTTTTTCCTTTGGATAGTAGTTACCTTCCTGAAATTTGCATTTTAAAAGGTGGCTGAGATAAGAGTTCCCCGAGAAGACCAAGTAGAATATTTGCATCTCAAAGGCATAGGAGGAGAAATGCAAATTCCTTCTAGGAAGACTTTGTTCCCTTAAGGCCAGATTTTTCCCCCCCTCTATATTTACAAGCCTCATAAGATAAACAAGTGAGGTTTGGGGAGAGGGAAAAGGATTGATGGGCTTTGGATTGTTTCTGGAGCCACACCCCTGGTTCTGTAAAGACTAGATTTATAAAACAAGGCCAGCTATTTATAATTCCTCCAAGAATTGGGTGGCCATTTCTATGATATCAAAGTACTGAAAGTCCCACTCGAGACAAGAGGGAAGGGGGCAGGATACATCATTAGAAGAATGACACAATCCTTGAGGATGAGACAAAAACTAATTAGAATTAATTAGGCCCAAGATGGCAGATATTTGACTTCCAGTAGAACTTGAGCCTCATTATACACTCATTGTAATATGTTAGCATGCTAAATGACATACCCACAAGCACCATGACAGTTCTCAGGTTGACCATAAAATGTCAAAAAGTAGGCAGTGACCCAATTCCTGGAAATCTCTTCCCCTTCCCCAAAATAGTTGGAATAATCCTCCCACTCATTAGCATGTGAAATTACCCAGCCCATTAAAAAGTAAATGCCCTCCACACCCCAGGGCCACTGTCACCTTCTGAGACAGACTGCATTCTACCTATGGAACGTGTATCCCTCTAAATAGACTTGATTTCACTTTACTACTATGGCTTGCTCTTGAATTCTTTCCTGTGCAAAGTCAAGGACCCTCATTGATGGCTCATCCGAGGAATTCGCCCAACACCAGGGATGTGACCATCCTCTTGTGCCCCCTTCTCCTGCAACAATTCTTTGTTAGAATGTTTTACTTTCTCTCATTTAGCTTACGGGAGAAGGCCAAAAAAAGGAAAAAATTCCTATCAGGCTCTGAGTATCAGTAATGGTCAGTTTAGTCAGACCAGTGGCCTCCCAGCTTGGTAATCCATTTACAAAAACTTCTGAGGATACTCGCTGGGTTTAAAAATTGTCTAACTATGGCCCTCAGTTTAACCTTTGATCTGAAGAGGCTCACCTACAGTCCCAAATGGTCTCATTTCTAAAGTGACCCTTCAATAGCGTCTTCAAAGTGCAAAGACATTTCAGACAGAGGATGACTAGAATGAATGCTCAAATAAAGGAGGACGGAGGGGAGCAGTAGTTACATCAGTCTTCAAGTTTTTTGTTTTAGGTAACTTTCATATCATTAATCTTTCATTAGCCTTCTGCAGCAGATCTTTCTTTCTTTTTTTTTAAATTTTTTTTATTGATTTATAATCATTTTACAATGTTGTGTCAAATTCCAGTGTAGAGCACAATTTTTCAGTTATACATGAACATGTGTATATTCATTGTCACATTTTTTCTCTGTGAGCTACCATAAGATCTTTTATATATTACCCTGTGCTATACAGTATAATCTTGTTTATCTATTTTACAATTTTGAAATCCCAGTCTCTCTCTTCCCACTCCCTGCCCCCTAGCACAGCAGATCTTTCTATGAGGCTACTTTGGAATTGTGAAATCTTTTGGGGCTTCTGCATACCAATTATAATAAGTACAATAGTTTAAGATGAGAGCTCTCTAAAATTTTAACTATTTAGAAGAAACTTTAACTATTTCAAAAGATTCAAGGAGCTAGCCCTACAAATATTTTCTCCTGCTAATCTAATTTAGAAAAGAGATAAACTCTTACTGCTCTTGTTTCCAATAGACTTCTGGCTTCAACTGTGAGAGCAAAATTCAGTTTTGGAATGCCAAAAGAACACTGTCTTGGCCATTTTGGGGCCTGATTTCCTTCAATTCCAAACTAAGTACTTTCAAGAATACATAAATCCAGCTGGTATCCTGAAGGGTGGCTGTCTGCATGGGAGCTTTTTGGCCTTTAAGGCACAATTTTCCATTACAATTTGATAGCCTAATTCAGTTATGAGATATGATCTGAACAACTT